GAGAGAGAGAGAGAGAGCAGATGGGTGGGGGATGGGCAACAATTTGTGAATGATGTATAACTGTTTGTGTGAGGGGAATAGACAATGAAAGAGGTGTTGGGTGTTGAGAGGGAGGGGAAGAGAGGGAAGGGTTTTTTTGTTTTTGTTTTTGGGCGTGGGGGGTGGGGAGGAGGTGGAAGAGAGAGATCATGAAAAATATGTAGTGAGAGAGCACCATTGTGTAGGGGAATGGACTATCGAAGATGCATTTGGTGTTTTGAGAGAATGAGAGGGTGCTCACACACTTGCTCCTTGGTTCATGGCACTTGTTGAGCTTCTTTCTTCTCTACCACCTTCACAGGTGGTTCGCTTTCTTTGACACCAGCTTCAGGGTCCTTGTTTACATGGTATGTGTGGTCTCGGTTATGCTTGTGCTTCGAATGGCGACGAGCACAAAATCTACCAAGGATGCAAGCAAGAGCTCCAAGAACAGTTATCACCGAAAGAACTGCAAATACGGGCCCAAAGGAGCCCTTTGAATGGGAAGCCTTGGCTGCTATAGCAGCTTGTGGATATGTGACAACAGGTTGTGGTTGAAGGGGCACCTGAACCGACATCTTTCTACCAAGAAAACAACACGTTTTGCTTGATTTTATGTCAAAGAAATCAAATTATAAAGAGATGTAGAGAGTAGGGTGGCCTGAGAATTGTGCTTCCCTTCAAGCCTTAGTTTTGGAGAGGCATGGTTTTGGTCAAGACTGATTTGTTCTTTGAGTGCAGGCTTGGAATGCTTCCTTTGGAAGGGTTTTAAAGGCATTTGGTGATAAAGAGAGAAGCCCAAAGGTGCAAGGTATGGATTATTTTAAGTGGGCTTTGATAAAGATAAAGGAATACTTTTGCTTTTGTTTTTTTAAAGGAGAAATGAGTATGATTCCTTGTGTTTTGGGGATGGGAAAAAGTGGTGATTTTGGGGCTTTTGAGATGGAAGTTTGGAGTGAGATTGTTTCTTTGGTTGGTGTCTAGAGTGAACTTTTTGAGATGGTATCTGAACTTTGGACTCTTCTAACATGGTATGGGGCTTAATTGCCTCAAATTATGGGAATGGGTTCTAGGGTTCTTGACTTGGGTTTCTTTTTACTTCAAGTTTCAATGTCATGGAATTCTAGGCGCCGTAACAGAAAATTTTTCAGGAGATTATGATTACAGTGCTTAATTTGCCTTACAAAATTATTAAACGACTGAAAAGATCCCATTTATGGCTATTTTTTTTTGGAAAATTGTTTCATACGGGCTGAACAACATTTCTACAATATGCGGTCTAGAGGTATAAATCATCCATCTTAGAGATGGATGCAAATAGGTGGTCTACAATTGTAATTAACCGTTCAAATGCTTTTTAATATAATTATTATTTCTAGTTTTCTATTATTATTATTATTATTATTATTATTATTATTATTATTATTATTATTATTATTATTATTATTATTATTATTATTATTATTATTATTATTATTATTATTATTTTATATTCATGATCTCCATGTTAAAGATTATATATTCTTTTAAAATTAATATAAAATTATATTTTAAAAATATATTTATTGTGAAGTCTGCATTTCTACAGTATGCATGCTAGCTGTATAGAAACTGTCGTTTTTTTTTTTGGGTGAATCATTGGGGAGAGGGCCTTTACCCTTGGTAGGATGAGCTTAGGACGTAGTGTTGCAAGGAGCCATGCGCCAACTAATTAAGCCTGGGCTCTCTTCCTAAAAGCATTAGAATGGAGGCCGTGACCATCAACTGGAGCAACTGAAGAAGTAGTGATACCACCACAACCCCAACCCATTCTCAAAAGATATTTTCATTGTTTGTGTTTGAGCCTATCGAGCCACAAAAAAGCTACCAAAATCCATTGATTATTCGGGTTTTCAATGCTTAATAGGGTAATTTAGGCAAATTTGAACAATTTTTTTTGAGGAGGTACTTTTGTGGCATGAAACTAAAAGGCATACTCATGCAATATAAAATGGGATCATTTGAGCCCTTTATTGATTATATGATGAGTTTTGGATAGTTTTTCTTTTAAATTATTATTGTTGTTGATGGTGGTGTTGTTATTGTTGTTCTCATTCTTATTATTATGTTAGAACTATTAATCTATTACTAATACTCTATGGATGGGCTTTCTATAGTACTCTCGAGTCATATGGGGGAAAAAAAAAAGATCTTGAATTTTAAAGATTTTTTTTTTTTTGATTTTTTTGTACCATACATTTTGGACGCCTTTTTCCTAACATCCATCTTAGGTTTGAGAGGTGGAATAAAATGTGTGGATTTCCATGTACTTTTCTTTTAGGTAGTTTAGTGGTAAAAATCGATATTAGGATCTAGCATTGCTTAACGTCAACTGCTAATTGCTCAAACCCAAACCCAATTCCTAAGTGGATTGTTAAAAATGTGGATAGCCAAACTAACAACAAATAAATATTCAAGCATCATGCAATGAAAAAGAAAAATAGAGGAGGAAATATAACACATTTCTATTTAATTATTCCTCTTTTAGATGTTTATTTTGTTGATGCAAGTATTAGCCATTCATATTAGAAATCTTACTTTTGTAAGATTAACTGAAATTGATAGTTGATAGAGTTAAGGTAGAAATTTTAGGAACGTTGGAGGGTTAGTAAAAAAAGTTTCATTTGACTAGAAGTCTTGATTTCGTAAGAATCTTTTATTTTAGAGTGAGAGAGAGAGAGAGTTATACTTTCATCTAATTGAGGACGTCTTTCTTTTCCATGTATTTTTCTACCACTACGGCCGCCGTATGAGAAAAAGGTGTTAGGATTTTAGCCCTCTTAAATACGGAAACATGAGTCTTAAAAGTTGGATACCGGCAAACTGGAATCTACTACACCAATGAAAGTTGCATTATAGATTTTGGAAACTAAAATTTATTATACCAATGAAAGTTGCATAGCAGATTTTAGAAATGGAGTTACCTCTCTAACCCTCGACAAAAACTCAGTCCAGCAAACCCTTTTAGACCTGCTCTCTTGATCGGCACGACCTGCCGATCTCTCATCTCTATTCCACCACTGTTTAGGAAGAGATCCATCTCTATTCCACAGCTAAATTGTTGTCCAGGAAGATACCCTTGGATTGTATAGGCGAGACCCATCTTTATTCTATTCCACAGCGGTTAAACCACTCTCTCACTAAAAGGGAAAATCACCCAAAGCCGTTTCTCTACTAGAAACCATCATATCAATCTCCATAGGAAGCTCTCTTCTCTCCAAGGCCTAAAAGGGGAAACTACCCAAACCAGCATCTCAATCTACAAGAAGCACATCGGGGAATTTCTTTCCATAGGAAGCTCTTTTCTTTTCAAGGCCTAAAAGGGAAAACCACCTAAAATCTTCATGGGAACTGCTTCTTTATAAAAAACTAGCATCTCAATCTACATGAGACACAATGTGTAGTTTCTCTCTATAGAAAGCTCTTTTTTCTCTAAGAGGAGGCCTTGTCTCTTAGTTTCTCTTTTTAGGAAGCCCTTTTCTTTCTAAAGATGAGACCTTGCCTCTCATGCACATCTCTTTAAGAGAAGGCTTTGCCTCTCACGCATAGAAGGCCCCAGCCTCTCTCACCAAATGGGAGACTTTCTTGAGGTGTTACATATATCGCAAATATCATGAGATATCCAACAGTCCTAATCTTTTTGAGTTTCTATTTCTTTTAAGAAACTTATCAATATCATTCACAATCTCATATAATATGAGATTTTTTTATGCGGGCGATTTTGGATAATCACCGTAACCAACAAGAGGGAGACATAATCTCGAATCGTCTGGTTTGGGTTTGAATTATTGAGGTGGCTGGGGAAAGGATTTGTCCCACTAACCCTGAAATCAGCAGATTCTACATTCTCTAATTTATTTTTTATTTTTTGTTTTCTAATGCAATTCCTACATTCTAACCGGGTAATTCTTGATCGAGTATAATAGCAAACCAAAATTTGTGTAACCGATCCTAAATAGTTGAAAAAAAGTTAAAAAAGATTCGGATCATGATTATGACTCCAGACCACAAAGTTGTATTCCTTGAGGTTGGAACACAAGTTTTGAGGTAGTTAATTTAGAAAAAGAGAAGGTTTTCGACCTCTCAAACTCTTATCGTCCCTCAAATTGGAAGTTTATAATAAAAACTTTCTAAGATAAAGATAACTAAAGATATTTGGAATTTTTCATACTAAAAACAGTACCCCCTAATATTGTTTCGAAGGGCTTATATGCATAGTTAGCAAGTCGGGGAATATTAATATATCGGCTTACTATAAAATTAGAAATAAATCTTTTTTATTTAAAAAAATCAGATGAAAAAATCAGATAGGCAAAAATACTCTATGAAAAAATATCGCAAATATCGGACTAGTTTAAAAAAATCGGAGTGAAAACAACGGATAGGTTATAACTGCTAACTATGCACCATACTAACTATCATAACTATGCAGCATACTAACCATTTAGTCATGTTAATTTGAATTCCAAATTAAAAGTTTGTGCCATATTACCCATTTAGACGTGTAATTGAAAGTTGTGCACCATACTAACTATTGATCACATTGATGAATTCCAAATCCAAAGGATGTGCGTATTTCTTTGAGGTACTTACCCATT